CATGAAGACTTGAGTTCCAATCCCACCCGTGCCACCTACTCCTGGCATGACCGTGGGCGAGTCCCTACCTCCTCCAGTGCATGCTTCCTTCCCCGTCTTTATCATGTTGGATTCAACGGCCTCTTACCATGCTCCTGTGTATGGGAAGCATGCGGCAGTCTGAAATACAACATGCACACTCAGATACTAGTGGAGGAGGAGGTGGAGACCATGAGGAGAGGGGATTTGCAGATTAGAGGCAGTCGCAACCAGGATTGAAGTGGCATCCTTTGTATTCCCTCTGTCACACCAAGAATTATGTCCAAGCCCCTCATTCTGAAGGCATTGTGCACATAGTGTGTGAATTTGGAGTCAGGAAGACCCGAGCATGAAACCTGCCTCAGCCACTGACGGGCAACTCACTTGTCTGTCTCACCTTCCTCCTCTGTGAAATGGGGATATTAACAGTCCCTACCTCCCAGGGTTGTTGTGAAGATGAAACGATACCTGTAGGGTGTGATAGCTTTAAAGGATTATATAAATGTGAGTTACTAAAGGGGAGAAAATCAAGGTCCAGAGAGGGGAAGGGACCTGCTTGGCTGGGGTCCCAAGGAGTTACTGGCAGAATGGCGAGCTGAGCCCAGGTTTCCTAACTCCAGGACCAATGCTCTTCCAACCACCCCACCTGCCATTCCCCTAGCCAGCTGATCTCTGACTTCTTACCTCAGTCTTCACATCCCAGACCCCTTATTCCCTCTTCCAGTCCTCCTAATCCTGTTCCACGTGCCATATGCTGAGCCCCCAATGTCTCCCCAGGAATAGGATCTTGGTCATTGCCATAGTCTTCCAGATCTGCATCGGCTGCTTTCTCTGCTACTGCCCGGGAATGCCCAACATCTTCAACTTCATGCCTATCCGGTATGGGAACAGAGGGACTGGGGACCTCTGGTGCTGCTGGGGACTCTGAGAAGTGCCCTGTCCTTCTTTGTGATGCTTTCCTCGCATCCCTCCAGGTATCAGTGGTGGCTCGTCCCAATGCCTTTCGGCCTTCTCATTTTTATCTATGACGAGATCCGGAAGCTTGGCGTGCGCTGCTGCCCAGGAAGTGAGTTTAGCTGCAGATACCCACCTCCTAACCCCACTGATCGACCAATTCTGACTTCACTAGTGCCTTAAGACTTTTCTCCGAGGGTTCTGAGGTCCTCATGGTCTGTCTCTATCTTTCTCTGGCCCTTTTCCTCATTTGTCTCTTCCCATCTCTGTCTCTCCCTCAGGCTGGTGGGACAAGGAGCTGTATTACTAACAGAGAAGCCACTGAGGACCTGGCCTTCCCTGGGGCAGAGATCTCAGACTGGAGGGGGAAGAAGCTGGGAGTCCTGGATGCCTGGGTTCTCCACGGGGGGAGGAGGCCAATAAAGAATCCTGTGAGCTGGGAACCTGGGAGTCCTTGTCTCCTTCCATCTGTCCTGTACTTACACACCTTCACAGCCCCTTGGGAAAGAATCAATTTTTATCACCATACCTGCATAGTTCCACCACAAACTACTACTTGTAGGGTAGGGGGACATTTGCTTATATGAACAGAATCACAGAATTTTATGACTGGAAGGATCTAGTCTAACATGAAGCCCAAAATGATTTGCCATTTCCTTCTGCAGCTCATTTTACAGATGAGGAAACCGAGGCAAACAGGGTGAAGTAACTTACTCAGGGTCACACAGCTAGTGTCTGAAACCAAATCTGAACACAGGGAGATCCCAAAAAGGGATTTTGCTATAACAGACCCAACAAATAGTCTTTGAAGAGTTTCCAATTAGGGAGAACCTCATCGCCTCCAGAGACAGCCCATTACACTTGGACAATTCTGATCGTTAGAAAACATTTCCTAATGTTGAGCCTAAATTCTTTCCCACTTCCCCCCATGACTCCTGGTGCTGTCCTCTAGGGTGAAACAGAAACATCCAACCTGCCCTCCACACAACAGCCCTTCAAATGCTTCGAAGACGGCTATTAGATCCCCCCAAGTTTTCTCTTCAGGCCAAACACCCCTGGCTCCTTTAAGCAAATCCTCATACTGTACTCAAAGCCCTTCCCCATCCTGGCCACCTTCCTCTAGACCCTCTCCAGTGCATCAATATGCTTCCACTGTGGTACCGAAAGCTGAAACAACACTCGAGGCATAATCTGAAAGAACACAGGACAGAGGGATTCTCACCTCCGGATGCCTCTCTTAATGCAGCCCAACATCTCCCTCTCTCTCCCCGTATATTTGGGCTATTAAAAGCACACAATTCTTGTTAAGCTTTCAATCCACTAAACCCTGATCTTTTCTTTTTAGCCCTAAGTAGGGCCCTAGGTTATAAACTAGCCATTGCCACAAAACCATTTTTACTGGTCTGACTGTGCTCTGCAAACTTTGAAGTGCTTTATAAGTGACTTTTATCATGATGACCCAGAAGGACGCGTAAACCGCAGCTTCAAGACTCACATGACAACTCCCTTGCTTACAAGCCAACGACAAGCTGTACCAGGTACACAGGGTATCCAGGATGTAGAAAGTTTTCACTAAGACTCTTGGCACCTTGAATAAATAGGCTGGACATTTTTTTTTCATTTTCAGGTAATTTATCTTAAGTCATGTTTTTTGAATAGGCAAAGAAAAACCTTTTAGAACCAGTGAACCCTAATGCTAGCTCCTTTCCTTACAAATTCAAATACTAACAAATAACCTAAACACGGCCCCAAATCTGACGGGAAGGTCGAGGGAGGGCAGAGCAGTTTCTCTACTGCGCTAGAAAACAGCATGTCTACAAATCACCAAAGAAATATATTTCAGAAAGTCTAATAAAAGTTAATTGTGTCATTAAGATGAGCTAAGCCATCATTCCCTGAACTGACGTCAGTTTGCTACTGGAAAAATTCTTGCTTTGAATTAGTTTCAAAAACATGAGTCGCCAGGCAAGCCCCAAGATGTACACTGGAGAATCTGGCTGCCCCGGCACGGGCTTCTCACTGTGAAATGCCCTTCAGTGTCCACTGGTGGGTCTGCTCCTCTGAGCCATGTCTGCCCAGGGGAGTGAGTCTGGTTTGAAGGCATGTGCAATCTAAAATGATCATATTCTGGCTCATCGCTTGGTTGGTTACTCAGCTATATAAAGGTTTGTTTCCCAGGACAGGTGTGGGGAGCCATTCCTTCCTAAGTATATACCACATTTGAGAGGCATGTTCCACTGAACATCTCCCTACCTCTCCAGTGTAGAGGACAGAAGGTGGGAAGAATATTCCAATGAGGTTATGATGGAGAAGGAGACGAGCTTTGTAAGAGGGCAAGTCTGTTTCTATTAAGCCTAGTTTCTGGAAGCAGAAAAAAAGACCAGGAAAACTGGCAGTGTCTGATGGCAATACTGGGAAAAACTCATTTTCTTTATAAGCTAATTCTCCTACAATTCTGATATAAAGCATAAATAATCTACGGTAGTTGCATGACATCACCACCCTTCCTGACTGTTCAGATACACCAAGGCCTCAGTCAGGCCGGACGTTTTCAAGGAGAATAAGACATCATGTCCATACCAGTTGGCCATGGTCATCAGAGGGGGGCTGGACGATCCATAACGGATTCTAGAGACTCACTTGGTACAGGTTGACTCACTACATAACCCAGTCAAGGGCTTTTCTCCTTATGTAGATAGTCCCATATAAACCCATGTAGTCCCAGATTGGTAGAGCTGGAAAGAACTTTCATTTTACAGATAAAGAGAATGAGGGCCAGAGAGGCCAAGTTATTTAAGGTCATATATGAAATGCTATAGTGGAGAGATGACTATATTTGGAGTCAGGAGAGGTCTGAGTTTGAACCTTGACCTTGATGCTCACTGACTGACTTTTGAAAAAAAGAATCACCTGATCTCTGAGCCATTTTCCTTATCTGTAAAATGGGGATAAAATAAAATCTGCAGCCTTGGCTTCAGAGGGAGGTTTAGTGTTTATAAAATACTTGGTAAAAATTGTTGATTGAAAAGAAGGCTGGATTTGGAACAAGGTGACCCGGCTTCCAGTGAAGCCTGTCACTCATGCTTTGGTGACTTTGGGTGAGTCATTTGCCTCATTCTCCTCCCCTGTAAAATGAGGGGGTCAGACTAGATGATTGCTAAGGCCCCTTTCTTTTTAAAAATAATCATCAGCTATTATTAGTTAATGGCAGTCTGGACTTATTTGACCAGAAACATGTGCCCGCTTGCTTCTTGCCCCATCCTGGTGCTCTGTTCTGTGCCAGGTACTGAGAGGGATGGTGATAAACAGGCCCAGGTCCCTGCCCTTGGGTGAGGAATAGGGCATGGACATACCTGGAAAACAGAAGCTGGGGCATCAGGCAAGTGCCCGCTGAGGAGGTGGGCACCGAGCTATGGACGGCCCACTGAGTTGGTTCCACGAGCAAACCTCTGGCCCTCTCGGAGACCTTGTCCCTTGCTTCAGAATAGGAAACAGGTCCAGAGATGGGAAGGGATCTGCTCATAGGGATTAGGGCAAATGCAACATGGCCTCTGGGGAGATGTGAGGTGGGCTGGGAGGTTCATGGAAGTGGAGGATTTTGGAAGGCTGATGAGAAAGGAGTCGCAGGCTTGGAAGCTCTGGAAGCCTGTCTCTGCCACGGGCAGCGGAGGGAGCCGTGGTCACCTACTAGTGATCGAGCCTTAGTTTTCTCCTCTGCAAATGGGGATGATGAGAGGAGGCCTGGCAGAGGATCACCAATCATTTAGAGGTGGTGTCTCAGAGGCCGCACAGTTCAATCTCTTCCTTTCAGAGATGGAGAGACTGAGGCCCAGAGGGAGTTCCCAGGCTCCTAGGTTTAGGACTGACTGGAACCTTAGAGTGCATTTAGTACAGAAGGGATGTGAGTGGGATCTATGACCGATGCTTCTGACTCTAAATCTGGTGGGTTTTCTCCACTGTCCCATTTGTGAAGTTAGGAAGAGTCCACGAAGGAGGTAGGGGAGGTATATACATAGAGTAACACGAGCGGGAAAAAAAAAATTCTTTTAATTCTAAAGGGAGGGACTAAGCCCAGAAGTTGGAGTCCCTGGAAGGGGTTAGGAGAGAGGGTCAGTTGCCATGTACAAGAGTGACAAAGAGACCGAGGGAACTTAAGGCGAGGACACCGGTCATCACCGCTCGGACCAGCAGCGCCGTCCAGCTGCCCAGGGAGAAGAGGTGGACAAAAGCCCTGGGAGGAAGAAAGAGTGAGGGAGAATGGCATCTCCTCCTGTACCCTCCTTGGAGGCAGACCCCACCCGGCCTCCCCCGATAGGCTACACCCCTCACTCACTCCAGGATGAAGGCTTTGTAGACGCTGATGCCCAGGAGGATCGTCAGTGGGGGGCGGAAGTTTCGTGGCAGGTCATATCGAGTGAACATCCACACTAGAGCAGAGACTGCAATGTAGTGGACCTAGGGTCAGAGGTTGAAGGTCAGCCAAGAGACAGGGATCCACAGGGCAAGGGTGGCGGCAGGGTGGGGTGGTTGAGGGTCACAGTTACCAGGCTGATGTTGGAATCAATGCTCATCTGGATGTATTTCCAATCAAATTCGATGCCCCGGGCCCCGACCCAGAGAGGGATACAGCTAGAAGAGAGGAGACAGGGGCTGGTGGCTCGGGCTGCCCTGGGGAGCTGGGAGTCTACCCTTCTCCTCCCCATCCCCAGTGGCCCAAAGACAAGGGTCCCGCACAACCTACACACCGGGACATGATGAGCTCTGCCGTGGCCCAGCCCAGGGCCGCCACCATAACCTTGTACTCGCCCTTCCCTGCGTTCCGAGACATGACGAGGTGGAGGCCCACAAGGTCACCCAGGTCCACAGTTGCCTTCATGAATTCCTGGTAGATGGGATAATTTCCAGAGTTTAGAACTGGAAGGGGCCTCAGAGATCACCCAGCTAAAATCCCGCATGTTTTCGAGATTCCAGAGCCAGTCAGGCTAAGCCAGAATCTGAACCCAGGTCCAGCTCCTAATCCAACACAGGACTCTTTGCCCACTCCCCCTCCCCCCCTCCTACCCCCACCCCCCGGCCCAGCAGTCCCTGGCTCTGCTTTCCCATCTCTGCGTCCCTCCAGCGCTGTGTCTTGCCTCCCCATCATCTCCCGGGAGCCACTCACCCCTATGAAATCGTAGATACCAGCTCCACCTTCCCATGTGGGGAAGAAGGTCGCAAGAAACAGCATCTGGGGGACAGAGGGAGGGCTTAGAGGGGTGCAAGCAGGGGCCAGGGCAAGGCCAGCCTGCTGACTTCTGCTCTCTCACCTTGCACAGCTGCACAAAGAGATAGGTGGCTCCTGCCTGCACACATTTCCAGAAAGCATTGTACTCTGACCTGAATGCGAGAGGGATTCCTGCAGGTGAGGGCCAGGCCCAAGAAGCGCATCCCCCCTCCCCACCCTGCAGCCCCGGGCAGCCCTCAGTACTCACAGCCCACTGCACTTGTACGTGATGAAATAGGGGAAGTATGCCAAGGCAAAACAGTTCCCAAAGTGGAACAGGGTCATGGTGGGCCTCCGGCCGGCCCTTGTGGCACCTGAGCTGGCCAAGAATGCACAAAGCTCCCTCAGCCCTCCAGATATCCCTCTGCCTTCCCCACAGTCAGATGGAGACCCTCCTTTTAGGGTTCCCAGGATGGTGGGCCTTCAGCCCCTTGGAGAGCCCAGCCTCCAGCCGCAGCTCTTCAGTTCCCTTTGAGACTTAGAGGGATTCAGGTATCCTGACCTCAGCCTCCAAAGGGATGTAGGGGTCCAACTCCCAACCTCTACCCTCCAAGGGGCCCCAGGTGGCCTGTCCCCAACCTCCACTCCCCCACCAAGGGAACATGTATCCTGCCCTCCACCTCCATCCCCCCCTACAGGGACACAGGTTTCCTTCCCCTGCTTCTATTCTCCAAGGGGTCCCAGAGGCCCTGCCCCCCCCATCTCTACTCCCCAAGAAGAGCCAGGCATCCACTCCTGCCCCTGGCCTCCACCTCCCAGCCCACCTCCTACCTCCCCAAGGAGAGCCAGGTGTCCAGCTCTGCCCCACTGCCTGCCCCCCTCCCCCCGCCCGGTGTCCAGCCCTGCCTCCTGCCCCCCCCACCCGAACCAGGTGTCCAGCCCTGCCTCCTGCCCCGCCCCGGAGAGCCAGGTGTCCAGCCCTGCCCCCCCGCCCGCCCCCCCCCCCCCCCCCCCCCCCCCCCAGGTGTCCAGCCCTGCCTCCTGCCCCCCCACCCCAGGAGAGCCAGGTGTCCAGCGCTGCCCCTCTGCTTGCGCTCCTCCCCCCAGGAGAGCCAGGTGTCCAGTCCTGGACTCTGGACCCTCCGGGTCTTCCCGAGTGCCCCACGCACCACGAGCGGCCCTGACTCACCAGCCGCTCCTCTAGCACTCCCTGCGCACGCGTCAAGCTCACTCGACCCTTTCCCCTCCGCGCACAGCAGGCCGGGAATAGTAGTTCCCCGACTCAAACCCCCTAAGCGCACGTGACCTCGGAATCTGCGCCGTGAGGGCGGAGTCAGCCGGGATGGGGGCGGAGTCAGCCGGGGTAGCCGAGGCGCGCGGGGCGGGGCCGTCCTAGGGACGCTCCATGTGGCCGAACTCTGAGAATCTCCTCCACCTCCTCCGACACCTGTGCTCCTGTCTCCCTCACCACCTCCTGGAGCCGACCCCTCCCCATGCGACCCCCAACCCCACTCCCACCCCATGCAAGACCTATATACACGCAGAGACACGTGCACAGGCAGACCCTACACCAGGACTGAGAGAGAAAGGCAGGACACCCAGGCACGGAGAAGGAAAGGTAGTATAGACAGGGAACACACGAGCCCAGACAGGCAAGATGCCCAGACACACACATGCACAGGCTGATAATACACAGAGACTGAGACGACGCAGATGGGGTACACATATTGAGCGAAAAGAGAAGACGTTGATGCTATATAGACAGGCGACACAGCTACAGGCAGGTAGGTGACACACAGAGACACACAGAAACACAGACACCCCCACACACACCCACAGACAGGCACATGAATAGACAGGCAAAAGAGACCCACAGGGAGGCAAGTAGGACGCAGATAGATGCACAGACAGGCATGATAGAGATAGACACAGAGACTCCTCACACAGAATAGTGAAGCAAGACACACAAGCCTGGGCATGTGTAAGACATAGGTATAGACAGGCAAAACACAGACACGTGCAGAGACAGGCAAGACAGACAGAACTACATATGCGCACACACACAGACGGGAAAGACACCCCGACAACCATAGGCGGAGGTAGACTACACACACTGCGGCACACAGAGACGCTAGAGGTAACTTCCTAGCGGGTGCTGATATGTTTATTGGACATGTTGGCACTATCTCTCGGGTACCCTCACGTGGAGTCGCCCCTGGGGGAAGGAGCGGGGAGGAGCAGTGCTGGAGGGGGAGGGAGTAGTTCTGAGGAGGAGATCCGTACACACACACAGACACACACAACGAACACGGTGACCCCCGACCCCAAGCACAGCCCGGAAAGTGGTGGGCGTGAGTGCTGGCAGGACAGGGACAGCTGATGGAGATGCTCGCATTGGGGGGTGGAAGGGAGGGGGCGACGCCGGCGGACCAGGCCACACTGAGGTCCCAGCGGTGAGGGAAAGGAGCACGCTGTGCCCTGCGGGGGTAGACTCAGAAGCGAGGCTGCCCTCCCCCGCACTTCTCTTTGCTGTTCATGTGATTCATGAGATCGACCACCCGGTGGCTGTAACCATATTCGTTGTCATACCTGTGGTGAGGGGGGCACGGTCCGCGTCGGTGGGATGGCATCAGGGATTCCCTCCGCCTCTACAGGCACCCACCCCGGCCTCCCTTACTTTTCCCAGCTCACCAGGAGATAAGTTTGACAAAGTTGTCATTGAGAGATATGCCGGCCTTGGCATCAAATATAGATGAATGAGGATTTCCGATGATGTCAGAAGAGACCACCTAGTGAACAGGGAGTCATTTGAATGAAGGAGGCAAGGATAAGGAATGAGCATGCACCCACCCCTCACCCCAAATGGATCTTTCTTTCTGGGAGTGAGGGGCTCATGCTCAGCGACTAATCCTTCCCCCAAGTTCATGCCTGTCCCCTGCCCCCACTCCAGGCACCCACAGCCCCAAGCCCCCACCTCATCCTCGGTGTAGCTGAGGATACCAGCCATCTGCCCTCTGGATGCTTTCTTCATAGCCTCCTTAATGGCATCGTAATTGGCTGGGCGGCTTAGCCGGCATGTGAGGTCCACGACGGAGACGTCAGGGACTGGGACCCTGAATGCCATCCCTGTTATTTTCCTGAACACACCATAGACAGGAGAAAGGATCAGAACAACTCAGGGATCCATGATGTTGGCCTCTACCCTTGCTTCCCCCTATACCCCTTTTAGTGTCCTCAGTGCCATTCAGCTCCCCTGCCCCAGATCTTCAGATTACTGTTCTCCCTACTTCCTTCTTGTTATCCCCATTCTCAAAGGAAGACATGAACCCAGCCTTCATACCCATCGAGTTCAGGGATGACTTTCCCTACAGCTTTGGCAGCACCGGTGGTGGCTGGGATAATGTTCTGGTGGGCACCTCTGCCATCCCGCCATGACTTGACTGAAGGTCCATCCACAGTCTTCTGTGTTGCTGTGTAAGAATGGATTGTAGTCTGGGGGGAGAGGAGGGAGATCAAACCTTAACGTTCATTCCAGTTTACTCCAGCCTGGATTTCTTCCCTTCCCACATTGTTGTAGTGACTGAGAGAGAGAGAGAGAGAGAGAGAGAGAGAGAGAGAGAGAGAGAGAG